CGCGACTGACTGACTGACTGACGCCCCCGTGGCCTGTCCGGCGACAACTAATCAATCAATCCATCCAATCACTCTCGGTTGCATATAATACATAGCCAGTCGATCACGCGTATCCCTACTATACCTGTCTCTACGCATACACATATGGGGCCACTCCTTCCGTCAACACCTTCCGTCAACAAACACACGACCAAAGTGTGACGGCCGATTCAACGCCATACATACGTGCAAATGCAGAATTTGCACAGCCCACCCACCGTGGTCACTCTCGAAAACAAAAACGAGACAGACGTCAGCCAGCTAGGCATGGCCATCACTTGACAGGCAGGCCTCTCTTGCGCCTAGCTTCGCTGCGGAGCTCAGGCCACTCCGAGCGTATCTCCTCTGTCATGCCCCCCTCCCACTCCTTGTGCAGGTGGCGAGAAACACACCGGGGGAAACGCAGGCCGAGATGGGCCAGAATGGCCTCCGGCAGCGACATGGTGTCATCCATCGACAAACGCGACGTGCAGACCCCCTCTAGAGATGCCATCGACACGAGGTCACGCAGACAACGAGGGAAGAGGCAGCCAAAGACGCGATACAGCTCGACACACTGACAGGAGCGACCGCCGGCTTTGTACACAGCCACGAAGCCACCCGCCAGCAGCCTGCCCTTGGCTGCCTGCAGGTCGCTTCGCAGCCGATCGACACAGAAGCAGTAGGCTGCTAAGCAGTGGAGAGCAATCGAGTCGAGAAATGGGCACTTGTCGATGGCCTCCAGACACACCGATAAGATGCCTGACACTCCAGGGCTGTTGTTGTGTATCTCTACACTGATCTTCTGAACTCGCTTCTCAATGCCTCTCTGACTCGCTCCTTCGCCCCCGCCCCCGGCCCCCCACAGCGACCACACACAGTTGAAGCTCAGACTGGTGTGCCGGCACTCGGCTTTCACGTGCAGTAGGGGACCTGTCTTGCTGCACGCACCGAGGCACAGAGGGAACAAAACCGGCACAGCCGGCAGCCGTGCCATGATATCAAAACGCACCTCCCGCAGCGATTTGACGTCGGTGGCCCGCCTGACTGCGTCCTCTCTGACTCCCTGTCTTCTCCAGAATGAGTGTGGCCAGACGAGGGAAGAAGCGATCGGATATGTGCGACAAAAGCGCCGCAGGGGGCGGCTCGGAGCCAGCCCCCAGGTACAGGCGCTCAGCATTCGAAAACACTATCTGAGGCAGCCGATACAGCACAACAGTCGGCACCGCCTCCCCCTGACCCAGCCCAGAAGGCAACTCGACACACGTGGCGGCAGAGGCGAACCGTGTGAGCATGCCAGCCCACGATGGGTGGTCCCGCAGCAGCTCCAGATAGGGGATCGTGCGGAAGATCGTATCCGGCGTGCACGTGATGTTGATGGTGCCGTTGGGCGCCAGAAAGGTGGACCGAAACTCGTCGAGCCTGCCGAAAATCTGACGGATGGCAGACATACACACACAGGCGGACACCAGGTGTGACTCTTTGCCTTGCGCTATCTCATCTCATGTACACACCTGCAGCGTCCTGGAATGGATCGGAGAGAGATCATCTAGAATGACGTCGAGCTCCTCCAGCTGCAGCCCCCCCCTCTCGGCGATCTCGGGGATCTTCATGTCGATCTTGTCGATGTCGCGGATGTCATACCATGGCCACCTCACGCCCTTGAGCCGCCTGCGTAGCGCACATGCGACACATCCACATCCACATGAGCATCCACATCCACATCCACACACACGTACACGCAGCCGCGCACATATCGTTGCCCCTTCCCTCACTTGATGGATGGCTTCAACACATCGCAGAGGTTGGTGAGCTCCCACCCCTCTCTCGCGCCCGTCTCGAGCGTCAGGGTGTGCGGCCCTGGGCCTGACAGCCATTCTGTGCACCGCCAGCCGTCGTTGCCGGAACACATCTTGTAGTCGATCTCGCAGATCTGCACGATCGGGTAGCAGACGGTGCTATCGCGAAGATGCACGTCAACCAGCGCCCTGACATGATGCACGACACGCGCATCAACGACTTCCGAGCGACCAATCCCTCACTCACTCAGTCGCTTACGGGAGCTTCCAGTTGCGTTTGTTGGCGACGGACAGCCACCACTCGGCGACCCATACGCACCGCAGCTTGGGGAAGGTGCTCTCGTAACGTCCCGGTGGCTCCCATGAGAAGCGGGGCTTCCCTCGCACCTCCAGCGGGCCGTCATCGTACAGGTTCTCAGTGGTACGCGACCACGCGTGCAGCTCCTCCAGTGTGCCGCACGCATGCTCCAGCAGCTCGACCACACCAGTGGTCGGCGCACACACCATCGTCGCGTGCTTGGTCTTGCGGAATGCTGCCCCCACACACCGACCTGCTGCTTGGTCATGTCGATCTCGTCGCCAAAGTCCTTGCCGAGGCGCAGCTCGGTGTGCATGGCCGGCTTGCGGGAGAGGACGCTGAGGGATGGGGCAGTGAGCGCTAGCTTGGTGATGATGGTCTGTGTGCCGAGGAAGGGGCTGATGTGCCGCTGAAGCATGACTCGGGCAGTGTGGGCAACGACTGACACACCTGACACACACGCAGGACAGGGCAACCACGGCATGTGATTGATACGTTTCCTTGCCAGCACCTCAAGTGAGTGAAGGTCTGTGGTGTGGTGTCTGTACCGGCGTCGCATGGGTGTTGGCTTCTCGGCTGCTCATCTCGTTGGTCCCTTCCGTCGTTTGATGCGACGAGGTGAAGCTCGAAGGCCTTGTCGCCGGCACCGTCCGCACATCCGGCAGTGACACTGATCGGGAGAGCGGTCTGTCAAGATACCAGTGGGAGAATCTATCCATCACTATCATCGCCGCACACTGCGAGCAAGCACAGACACACACAGACGATACGATCACATGGGTGCGGTGCCCACGTGTGTGTGTGTATCAGGGTCGGCCGGTGTGTGGTCCCACCTGCTTTATGTATTGGGCATGAGATGCATGACCCTCATTGTGTGCGGACGCATCGCCTTAATGGCTGCATCATACACATGACAGAAGACGACTGTGTGTGGCCATCCAGCAGTCGTCATGTCGCTCACCTCTGTCGGTCCTCAGCGATGGCGATGGGCTCTCAGCCAGACTAAAGTACCGCCAAGAAGAGACACCTGCGGGCAGGAAGGCACATGGGCAGCGGCAGACACACATATGGAGCACGGTGCATAAACCACACAATGTCATGCCGCATCCACCAGTCAGCATGCACCCCATGCACCGGCCTGTCTGTTTGTCAGTTCTTCTATCACTGATCTGTGTGCTTACCTATGGGAGAAGGACGTCAGCTAGCGTCACTCGACGCATGGTCGGGAACATCTCCGCAGCCCACTGATTCGGGTTTGCTGTGAAACAAGACGAAAGAAGGTATCGGCAGGAGGTCTATGATAGAGTTGGTCGGCTGCCCGTGCAGCACTCGAGGGCAGACGTAGGAATCTGCGGCTGAGGGCCTCGCTCACAGGTGGACAGATACACAACAAACAACACCGGCCCAGTGTGACCATCCATGCGGATTGTTTGTGGTCATGCAGACGAGGTCACTGAGCCGTCGGCTGCAGCTATGCAGCAAGATGGCAACGACGGGGCTACCCATCCGGTACCTTACCATCAGCCGCCTTCTGCCGCGCACATCTGTCTGGACGGTTGTGTGTGTGTGTGTGTGCAGGAAGCGACTCGCGATGAGCGCCTCTGTCAGTTTGGACATGAGATGGATCGCATCAAAGAACTCGTCCAAAAGCTAGAAGCGCAAGTGGGTGGGGCCGGTGTGTCTGTGTGTGTTCCGTATGTCATCCATGCCTCGTTGTTGCAGGTAGCTGGCAAGGGTGCCTCGCTGACTGTGGGCGAGCTGTCTGTGGTGGTGGGCCACGTGAGCCGTGACGGCGGCTGTCTCAAGGAGGCGGCCGACTATCTGAGCAACATACACAACACCAACTCACTGCAGGGCGGAGTGGCAGAGGTACGTATCACAGCTCACACACATTCCTACTCACCTGTATCTCTGTGTGTGTTGTCTGAGCAACAGGGTGGCTGTAGTGGCGGTGCGGAAGAGGTGGCCGTGGAGGGGACTCAGAAGGCGACTCATGCATCATCCATATCGGTGTGTACGTTGAAAACAGCCAGCCCGTCAGGCAGGCACACTATGACCTGCCCTCTAATCCTTTCTCTGTGTGTGTGCAGGTAGCTGGTGTGTCGGATAGCAAGCGGGCGCGCGTGGAGGACCGATCGGGCTGTTGTCATGTGGCTGCTGCTGCAGCTTCAGCTGCAGCTTCAGCTGCAGCTTCTGGTCGACCCGACTGACACAGAAAGTGCATCAAAATCTCACGCATCGATTCACCCAACGCCGTCGGTCTGTCTGTCTCGCTGTTGTGTTTGCAGTTGATGTGTTGAGCGGCCCCCAGCAAGACGGACAGGAGCAGCAGCATGCGAACGTCAGCCTTGACACAAATAAAGCGGCTCATTGGCGCACTCGCCACATTCTCTCTCTCTCTCTCTCTGTGTGTGTGTGTGTGTGTGTGTCAGGTTGTCGGTGGGCCGTGTCTGTGTGGCCTGGAGGCCCCGGTGCTGTGTGGCATGGCCTCGTGGCTGACCACCAGGGAGGCCACCGTCCTCTGTCGCCTCAACAGGGGCATCAGAAGCATAGCCGACTACACCGCCAACCAACACCCGACCCACTGACCGCACCCTGGTGCACCATCACGCCTCCGGTGCCCTTCACCGCACTCACCACCCTGCACGTGGCAGGCGCCGAGTGGATCAACCACTTCCGGTGAATCTAGCTGACCATGCACACATATTCATATGAGGGTCCGCTGTGTGTTGTTTTTCCATACAGTCACGCCATGTGGACCTTCCCTGCCCTGGAAGACTGCCGAGCGCCCTTCACTCCCACTCCCTTGTCCCTCAAGGGCCTCACCCACATCGTGAGCTCCTCCCCTCAGCTCACGACGCTCGCCGTCAACAACATCAGCGATTGCGGCAGCCCCGGTTTCATCGCTGCCCTGGGCAAGTCCATGCGGCTCACCACCATCCGTGGGCTGCACATCACCGAGCGTGTGTTGAAGAAAGGTCATCTGGCTGAGCTGCAGAGGTCTCTGGACACCCACTGGAGCAAAGAGGACATGCGAGGTGAGTGACAGACGAGGTCTGTAGTGACATGCTTGATGCACTGATGCCTTGTGGTTCTATCATCCATCATCCATCCGAAGATGAGTTTGTCTTCGACTGCCCCATCGACCATAACTTCGGCGACCTGACCCGCCCCCTGCACACGTTCCTCGAGTGGGCCCGACGAGTCGGCGCCACGGTCGAGTGGCGCTCGGTCGCGTGCGTGACGGTCGACTGCAGCAAGGAGCCGTCGACTGTCTTCCCTGCGGTGCGTGGCCCTGTAGCTGACGTGGTCAACCAACTCGCCAAACAAGCCGAGGAGGTAAGTGGGATAACGAATGGACAGACAAGGAACAAATCGCATGGTTCGTGTGTATGGCTGCCTTCGTCCCAGGTGTTGCTGATGTGTGGCGGCACGCCTCTGGACGAGTCGTGGAAGGACGTGCTAAACTTTCCCAACGTGACGCAACTGTGGATCGGCATTTCCCCCATTCATGACGGCGGTCAACGAGGACGGCAACAACGTCTGTTTTCCCGCAGTCGAGCACCTCGTGTGCCGCCTGGCGTATCTGGGGTACGGGGACAACCACCCTGAGGGCGCCTGGCATTTTCCTGCCGGCCCCAACAAGCTTAGCACACTTCTAGGCAACCCGTGCCACGTTAGATCAGTTCAGTTCAGCACCTCTGACCTCTCTGTCGTGTCTGAGTGCCTATCGCTGCTGCCCACTAAGTGCATCGACGAGCTCGGCCTTGAGTTTGGCTATCACGTGCGTGTGTTGCCTGAAACATACCCACCGCTCTCATCGCCTGCCGTGAGCTTGCTCTCGTTTGGTGGCGATGATGAGATTGAGCTCAGCAAAGATCAGGCCTCGTCGGTGATGAGTGCTGTGACCCATGTGCGGCCATCCAAAGCGCATCTGAGTCTACAATTCGATACCAGTGGGTTTCAGCTAAGATGAGGAGGGGGCGTCATATGAGGAGCAGAAAGCCCATGCAGAGTTAAGGAGCTGCGTGCGTTGGCGTGTGAGTGCTTCGCGCGGGTCATGGCTTCGTACTCACTTGAGAGCCTCACTGTCGAGTGCGACGTTCAGCAGCAGCAGCAGCAGCAGGAGGAGGGGGAAGAGGAGAGCTTCCTCTCTTTTTGTGCATTCACACTGGATCTGGTAGCAAAGGACGGCCGGGGGGGACAACAGGGCGAGGACGCTTGTAGTGTGCAGACTTGAGACTCTGGGTGGGGTGGGGTGGTCGTGGTTGCGGACACCTGTGTTCAAGTTGCTGTCTCTGTGCTGTGCGTGTGGATGGATGGATGGATGTCAATATAGACTGAGTGAGCGTGTGTCGATTCAATGTGTCCGCCAACCGATTCAATTCAAGCACCGTACACGATGTCTCTAGTTCCCATCCGGCCACGCACTACACAAGCACACAAAGAGCTCGCGCCCACACACACACACACACACACAGGTGAGTAAAGGACGCATTATACGATCTAAGCCACACGCAGTGTGTGCGGTGCGGTGCGGTGCTCACCCGAGGCAATGCGTTTGTGTTTGTCGAATGTGAGCAGTCGGCAGATGAGGTCGACCGCCTCGTCATCGTACCGGCTGAACCACACGGGCTGCGTTGTAACACACACAGACAAAGAGAGACACAACACACAGAGAAAGAGACAACACGCGTGTCAATGAGTATTTTGGCGCCAGGCACAAAGGCTGCCCTTCGTGCGGCTATTCGGGGACTGTGTTAACTAACTAACTAACTAACAGACCGAAAGTGACAGGAACCTGCCCTGCTCCCTTTCATTCGCATGCATTCTTCTGGTATAATATATACCACACTCATCTCATTCAGTTGACATGCAATGAGCCCTCCCTCCGTCGGGCGGCACGGCACTCACCTCAGGTACGAGATCCGTTCGTGTCGACAGCATACAAACATCCATAGAATGAATCCACACACCCACCCACGAATGTCAGTCAGTCAGTCAGTCAGTACGTTGATTGATATCTATACACAAACCGCACCCTGGCAGTCAGTGCAGTGACTGCACTCACTGCCTGCATCGCCGCACTCACTGCAGCACACCGCCCCGCTCCGCTCCCACCAGACAGACAGACAGACAGACAGAATCAGTCAACCAGTCGACTGACTGATTCGATTCCCCCAGGTCGGTCAAGTCAAGCCACTGCTTGACCTTGCCGCCTGTTTAACGGGCTGCCAACGCATCTGTGCCACTGGCTGCTGTGGGTGGCACTGGCGGCGTCCGCGCCGCCCCCGCCGCCGCCGCCGCCGCCTGCGTGGCGTCTTCTGTGGTCCTGTGGGCGCTGGTTGGTCTGTGGGTGTGGCCTTGGGCACCCAGATGGCATGGCCCTGTCCGGAGGGACAAACACCGTGACGACGGCCGGCCGCCGGACGGTTCGGTCGGACACGGTTGTCATGGCGACAGTGGGAGGTGGGGGAGTGGGAGGGCAGGGGGGCGTGAGGACCAGGACGGGCCGGCTGAGCGGGGGAGACGGAGACGCAGTCGCACTCACTCAGTGTCGGACGAGTCGACGGGGCCGTCTCGGCGGTGTCGCTGCCGGCCTTCGATGACTTGGGCGATTGCGGCAGGCTGAGCTCCTTCGGCTGCTCCACCGGTGTGGGCGACGCCGGCACGGACTCCTGGAACCACGGATGCGACAAGGCCTCGGCAGCTGCGCCAAGACGACAACACAAGACAGACAGCACACACACAGACAGACATACAGACATACATATGCACACACGCGCTGTGGATGGATGGATGGATGGATGGAAACCCCTTCAATGCGCACGGCACCTCACCCGAGGCAATGCGTTTGTGTTTGTCGAATGTGAGCAGTCGGCGGATGAGGTCGACCGCCTCGTCCGACACCTCATCGTAGTCGCTGAACCACACGGGCTGCATTGTAACACACACAGACAAAGAGACAGCACGCGTGTGCATATCGATGAATCGCACTCATCCATCCATCCATCTGTGTGTGTGCGTGTGTACCCTCTTCATATCCCTGAGGGCCCTTCTGACGGTGCGGGGCTTCAGGTCAGCGCAGCAGAAGGGAAACCCGCCAGTCAGCATCGCATAGCTGGCCAGCCACACACACACATACACATATATGACGTGTGAGTGAGTTTGCCGTTCGGTCGGCCGCTTACATGGCGACGCCCATCGACCACAGATCGCTCTGATGTGATTAGTCGAGAGATTCCAACACCTCAGGCGCCTACACGTACACAGCCGGCCGGGCGGGCGGGCGGGCGGGAGGGCAACCAACATACCAACACAACACAACACAGTACAACACGCGCTCGTTATTTGGTTAGTCCATCAATCGTTTGTGTGTCCACCCACTATAGTGTGTGTCAGTCTGAGTGCGTCCTTACGGTGTAGTCTAGAGTGCCCCAGACGCTCGTGTGCTTTCCCATCCCTGGCAGCAGCGCCGTGTCGAGGTCGACTAACACCACCCTCTTGCCCTCCCTCATGATGTTGCGCAGCGAAATGTCGCAGTGAGTGATCTGTCGTAGTGTGGCAACACACACCACCGGGTGTGCGTGGCTTGGCGTGGGTCGCTTGCCCACCCACCCATTCAATGGCATGCATAGTTACATTGTGTTTGTGTAGGAGCTGGAGCCCCTTGAGGGCGCCCCTGGCAATGTGCCGCGCGTCGTCCTCATCCCGCCGATGGGGAGTGCGGTCGCAGTGGCCGTCGCCAACGCAGTCCATAATGATGTACACGTACTCGGGGTCCATGTGGATGGCGTCCGTCATGCACACGGGGCCCTTCAAGTCGAGGTGGCAGATGCGGCTTTACTTGAGCAAGAACTCCTCCTCGGTGCACATGGACGTCTCCAAACTGACACACAGACAGACACACAGACAGAGCCGACAAACAAAGAGCCACAGGCAGGCAGAGACCGAAATCAACGACCGATGGCCAGGCTGTTCTGTCTGTGTGTCTGTGTGTCTGTTTGTCTGTGTGTGGGGCTTACTCGAAGGAATCCCGCGGGATGGCCTTGATGGCGTAGAAGAGGTCCTTCACGACCGAACAAGTCCTCTCCACCTTGAACACAAACCCGTTCCTGCATCCCGCCACACACACACACACACGCTCATTGAGTGATTGGTTCGCATGCAGTGCAGTGCAGTGTGTGTGTGCGTCGGTGGCTTACGAGCCGCGCCCGGCCTCCTCGACCACTCGGAATTGCTCGTCATCGAGCAGGTCGCCAAACGAGCCGTACGTCTGTCGCACACACGTAAGTACACAGAAACCGGCACAGAGCCGACTATGCGCACTGCATGCACTGGGCTGTCTGTGCCGTCCGTCTTCATTTGTCATCTCGAGCTGCGCACCTTGGGAGCTGGCACCTTGAGTTGGAAGACGTCCGGGGGCGCCTCCTCCTCGCCGCGCGCCGTCCGCTCATCCACGAGGCCGACATCCCTCTCGACGAACCCCAGCGAACCCATCTCTATCTGCTCGGTCAGTCTGAACCGCCGGCAGCGACAAACGGCGTGAGGCGCACTCGTGGCGCGACTGAGCGACCAAGTGACCGACTGGGGCGATTGAGTAACAAGCAGACACTAGCTACAGCCGCCAAAGAACAACGATTCGCACCTTTGACAGCTTTTTGATGACGGACGTGAGGTTTCACGTCTCACGCCCTACCCCCGCCATAGCTCGCGGCGGCGCAAAGAGATCAAAACGCAGCCACGGACGTGGCGAGACCCGAGCGCAGCCATGCGTGTGAAGATCTACCGCCTTTTCATCTGAGTCGCCCAGATCCAGCCTGGTAAGAAGTTCCCTGCTGTCTGTTTGCAAGATGCCCGAGTTCGACAAGCAGTGCACGATTTTGATCCACTACGACAAGGGCAACCCGCCCTCGATGGCCGACCTGCAGAAGAGGCTCGAGGCGTCCAAGGACTCCACCAAGGCTGAGGCGCTCGAGGAGCTCATCCTGCTCATGATCGGAGGAGAGGCATACGCCAAGCTACTCATGACGGTACGCAATCACGCAGACAGGCAGGCAGGCAGACAGGCAGAACAAACAGATGAGGGAGGGAGATCACGAGACGGCAACAGAGACAACCAACCTGTGTGTGGGTACGGCCCGTGCTGCAGGTCATTCGTTTTGTGGTGACGTCCAACAACCACCGCATCAAGAAGCTGCTGATGATCTATTGGGAGATCGTGGACAAGTGCAAGGCCAACGGGGAGCTCAAGGAAGAAATGATCCTCGTCTGGTAAGACAACCAAGCAACGACTGAGTGAGTGAGCGGAGAGAGAGAAACAGCCAGCAATCGAAGCGACAGCACACAAACACACAAACACACCAGCACACACACACACTGGCCGCCCTCTCGCCGTGGAGTTCTGTTGATTCATGTCACTCACATTGTGTGTTGAGTGTCTGTCGTCAGCAATGCATTGCGGAACGACCTGATGCACGCCAACGAGTACATCCGGGGCTCCACCCTCCGTCTGCTGTGCAAGATGCGGTACTACAAGATCCTGGAGCCGCTCATCGAGGCCATCATCCGCAACCTCACGCACCGCCACTCGTACGTCCGCCGCAACGCCGTCATGTGTGTCTACTCGATCGTCAAGTCGTTTGGCGTCGACACCATCCCACATGCGGCCGAGGAGGTGGAGCAGCTGCTGCTGGTGGAGGGCGACCTCAGCACCAAACGCAACGCATTCCTCATGCTGCTCCAGTGCGACCAGGACAGGGCCATCAACTACGTCCTCTCCGTCCAGGACGTCGTAAGCACAAGATCGATCACAATTTGGCAGCAAGGAAGCCGGCTCATCAAGGAGTTGTGTGATGTGATGTGATGTGATGTGATGTGGTGGTGTGGTGTGTTGTGTGGTGCGGTCAGGTGTCGAGCCTTGGTGACATCTTTCAACTGGTGCTGCTCGAGCTGCTCCGCAAAGTCTGCAGACAGAATCCCGCACAGAAGGTAGGCATCACACACACACACACACACACAACCAACCAACCGCCCAACGATTCACTCCTTTTCTCTCCCGTGTGCTGTGCTGTGCTGTGCGTGATCCACAGGGCAATCTGCTGCGGATCATCGTGAACCTGGTGCAATCGTCTTCTCCCGCCGTGGCGTACGAGGGCGCGGCGTCGCTCGTGGCGCTGTCGTCCTCTCCTCACGCACTGAAGGCGGCCACACAGGCGTATGTGAACCTGCTGGTGGGCCAGTCTGACAACAACGTCAAGCTGATCGTGCTGGACCGGCTCACCGACATACTGAGGAAACACAAACACGTGCTGACCGGATTCGTCATGGACATTCTCAGAGGTCAGTGGAGGGATGGATGGATGGATGGCTCGTGGGGCTGGGTGGTATCTATCTATCTGTGTGATGTGTGTCATGTGTGCAGCGTTGAATTGCCCGTCGTTTGACGTTCGTCGCAAGACGATGGACATCGCACTCAAGCTTGTCTCGTCGCGCAACATACAGGTGGGCCCACAGCACACACACACACACACATACATACATATGACATGACACCCCTATGCACGACGGCTGATATGTCATTCGTTGCTTCGCTTGGCCTGGCAGGAGGTGGTTGCGCTGCTCAAGAAGGAAATCGTCAAGACCATGGACATGGTGAGCAGAGAGAATGCGGGACGGCTTGCATACGGCTGACCATGTGTGCCCCCCCGCTGGTTTTTTTTGTTTGCAGGAGCAGCAGAACGTCGCTGGGAACCTCGAGTACCGACGGCTGCTCATCCGATCAGTGGTAAGCACAGCTCCACAAACACACACACTCGCACACAAACAAAACGCTCCACATGCACACGCCCTTCTGTTCTGTCTCTCTGCTCATTTCATTCAGCACGCGTCGTGCAGCCGTTTCCCGGATGTGGCTCAGTCGGTGATGCATCTGCTGATGGACTTCCTGGGCGAGACTGACCAGACCACCACCACAGAAGTCGTCATGTTTGTGCGCGAGCTGGTCGCCAACTACCCCGCACTGCGGCCGGCCATCATGCAGCGCATCATCGAGGCACTCCCTGAAGTGCAGCAATCGCGGTAAGCCACTGAGAGAGGGAGAGAGAGAGGCTGTGCATGGTTCTTTATGTGGGTGTCTGTGTCTTGTGTGGTTCAGTGTGATTCGTGTGTGTTTGTGGATCATGGGCGAGTATGCGGACGAGCCGGAGCTGATCGAAAGCTGCCTCACCGCCATACTTGACGCGCTGCCGTCGCTCCCATTCCTCACACGTACACACCACACACACCACACACACCACACACACAGAGCAGTGATGCATCCCCTCCTGTCTGTGTGTGTGTGTGTGTGTGTGTCAGCGGACGAAGAGCAGCAGAAAGCAGCGAACCGCAAGACGCAGACAGAGGATGGCGCGACTCAGGTACCTCACCACCAGACAGCCGACACAAAGACGCGGCAGCAGGATTGTGTTGTCCATCGACCACATTCGTTGCTGCTGTGTGTGTGTGTGTGTGTTGAACAGGGTGACGCGGCAAAGCAAGACCAGAAGCCTCGCGTCAAGGTCGTCACGCGGTACATACACACACATACACACGAATACAGCCAAGCGCCACACACAGCAGAAAAGTGTGTGTGTGTGTGGTTGGCAGCACTGTGATATTGGCTGACGGGACATATGGCACCGAGAACGTCTATGAGCCAATCGACGGTGGGTCTTCAGCACAGCACGACACACACAAGGAATGGAGGTCACCCCACGTGTGCTCTGTGCGTGGCGTGCTGTGCTGTGTGGATCACTCAATCGATCGATCGGTCAGATGGCGTGGAAGCAGCACCCGACACAGAGGGTAAGGAGGGGCATACACTGTGAGTGATCCGATCCGATCCACACGGTCATGTATACCATTTGTATGTATGTCATCGGTATCTTTCTGTGTGTCTGCAGGGGAGGAGGCCAAGAAGCAGACCGTGCTGAGGAACCTGGTGGTCAGCGGCGACTTCCTCCTGTGCGCTATGCTCGCCGGTATGTATGGCTTCACACCCAGGCACACAGAGAGGGAGAGACAGAGAGAGATCCGTACGCACGGACTTGTGTGGCGTCTGTGTGATGCCTGCGGTGGCTGCAGTGAGTCTGACGAAGCTGGCGCTCAAGGAGATCACTCTCGAGGGAGAGGGCGGCACATACATCCTCCCCACGTCCGTACCGTACCGTGCCGTACACACATCCCTGCCAACACACCACACAGATGGATGGACTCTCCGATGGATGCCTTGTCTGTCTGTCTGTCTGCCTGTCTGTCTGCCTGTGTGCCCGATGTGTGATGGCTGCGATGCCAACAGGAGCATCAAGAATCGCGTCATGTACTGCGTCGCGTGTCTGCTCAAGTTCGTCAGGAGCCACCCCACAGGTATGGCATGGCATGAACCAACACCATACCAGTCTCACCTTCCCATCCTCCATCCGCCTGTGTGTGTGTGTCTGTGTGTGTGTGTGTGTGTGTGTGTGTGCAGGTGGCCCGACATGTGACGCGGCGATCCGCATCGGCCAGTGCCTCAGAGCTCTCACAGTCATCCTGGCGGACGAAACACTCAAGTCCCAACAGCTGCGAACCGAGTGGTTCCCGGTATGTTTAGATCCCAACATGCCATGCCATGCCGTCCACACACAGGCGGCCGACATCACCCCTGGTGCCGCGCCGCGTGTGCGTGTGTGTAGGAGAGCCGCAATGCGTTGGCGAGTGTGCTTGAGATCGAGGTTGAGAACTATGAGGCGGCACTGGCGCAGGACGAGCCCGAGGAGAGGGTACACACCTGTTGGAAGGAGGAGGCGATGAACCACCCACCCGCCATCATGTGTGTATGTTTGATGCGCACGCAGACGGCCAGCGAGCCGGATGACCTCATCGTATTCAGGCAGCTCAGGTATGTACGCTTGTCTCCCGTGGGTGACATGGAGCGTGTGTGCGTGAATGGTGTCCATCCGCAGGGAGCGTCGTGGCCCTGCTGCCGATGCGCTTGACGATGACGAGCTCGACGTGCAGGCGGCTGTCGGCTCGGGGCCGGGCAGCGCACTCAAGGTCAGATCTGACACACAACCACACACTGACGGACCATATCTGATTTCTTGTCTGTCTCTCCGTTGATCAGGATGACAGCTCTCTGTTCCAGCAGCGCCTCGCCAAAGTCCAACAGATGACGGGCGTCGCGGTGAGTAAACCGATCAACACACACAGGAAGAGCACACACATGAGTCCCGAGTGTGTGGCTCCATCCATCCATCCATCCATGTGTTGCCTGCAGGACCCCGTGTACGTCGAGGCCTTCCTGCAGGTGCATCAATTCGATCTCGTGCTGGAGCTGCTCGTCATCAACCGCACCAACGACACACTGCAAAATGTCAATGTCGAACTCTCCACGCACGGTTCGTATCGTCACAACACTGATGTAGAGGAGGAAGAGGCCAACAGGTGTGTGGATGGGCGTGGCGGCGGTATGGTGGGTGGGGTGCAATGCATCAGGTGATTTGAAGCTGGTCGACCGTCCGCCATCGGTTACCCTGGCTGCCGGGCAGCAGACCACTCTCCATGCGTCCATCAAGGTAGGTACAAGGAACGAACGAACGAATGGAATGATGGTGGATGTTGGATGCTCCACATGCGGTGTGGTGGCTTTCAGGTCCAGTCGACAGAGACGGGCATTATCTTCGGCTACGTCACGTACGACAAGAGAAGCGCCGCTGACAAGGTGCGCAAACCGTGTGCTGGAGCTGGGATGTGTTGACTGACACACCTGTGTGTCTGCGTGTCGTGTCGGTGTTGCAATCAATGGGTGTAGGAGTGTTTGGTTTTGAACGAGATGCACATCGATCTGCTCGACTACATCCAGCGGTCCTGGGTGGGCGAGCTGGCCTTCCGCACCATGTGGTCCGAATTCGAATGGGAAAACAAAATCAACATCAACACCACTATCACGTACAGTACACAGTCCCACTCCACCACACACACACACACACACACGGAAGGGCCCCTCCCTGCTCATACCTGTGCGTAGGGATGTGGCCGTGTTTTTGGAGCACATCATGCGCAACACCAACATGACCGTCGTGGGCAAGTACGCCAAACCGCCGCCCGGCATTGTGGCTGGCACGACGGGCGGCACCAAGGGCCCCCAACTCAACCAGGCTGTGGTCAGTGAGCATGGCAACCCACTCCACAGCGTAGCAACACACCCCACGGAGGGAGGGAGGGAGGGAGGGAGATAGGTCAGATGATGGTCAAGCTCAACAGGGATGAGCCGCTCTGCATACGTGAAGGGGCGATGATTCCAACTGTATTTCTCTCCTGCTGATGATCAACAACACACACCCACCCCCCCCCACCCCCCCCACACACACAGAGAGAGACAGAGTGCGATCGAGCCTGTCTGCTGTTCCTCATCTGTCGTGTGGTGTGTGTGGATTGTGTTTGTGCGCTGGCTGATGACAGCTGGTTGGCGAGGAGCGGGACGACTACCTTGAGAGCGTCAAGAACCTCACCACACTCAAGAAACTCACCGAGCACTCGTCATTCTTCGCCGTCAACCTATACTCGAAATCCATATTCGGTCAGTCAGTGCCCCCAGCCGACACACACCCACCCACCCACACACCCCCACACACACATGCCGTCTGCTGTGTGTCTTGTGTGTGTCAGGTGAGGACGCTTTGGCAAATCTGAGCATCGAGAAGATGCCCGACGGCAAGCTTGCGGGCTCTGTGCGGATCCGCAGCAGAACACAGGTGCGTCTCTATCGGTGTGGGCTTGGGGGGAGGCGCAGTGCATTGTGCATTGTGTGTGTGTATGTGTGTGTGTGTCTTTCAGGGCATAGCGTTGTCTTTGGGTGATCGCATCACAGTCGTGCAAAGGGCCTTGTGATCGATGTCAACGAGGCCTTGCCCACTCTCAATGATGTGTACGTGTCTGAGTGAGTGTCAGATGGTTGGAAAATGGACGTGTTGGTCGATGTGTGTGTGTTGCGTGAGAGACCTCCGCCGTTAATTCGTCACGTCAATCCATCGTGAATCCATCCGTGTTTCCGTCTGTCTGTGTCGAGCGCACGGCATCACACATGACATCGTCTTGCGCACTCATCATCACTGCGCACAGCCACACCCACACCCACAGGCACCGACACAGAAACATAAACACGCCCACGATTTTATGTTAGATGGCTGACCTCTGCCGTTCTGAGGCTCTTCGGCTGCTGGTGCCGGACAACCACGACAGCTCCGCCAGTGGGGATCGGCGCCGCTGACACAGACACAGACAGAGACAGAGACATGTGAATGTGATGTCTCTGTCTGTCTGTCTATTGTGTCTGTCTGTCTGGTTGGTTAGGTGCATGCCTGGCACGATTGGCTTCTTTGCTGCCGCCGCACCCTCAGCACCGCCAGCCGTCTTGGGGAATCTGCACCAACACAGAGAGAGAGAGAGACACTCATTTCTTTGTCCGTCCGTCCATTTGTGTGTCTCTCTGTGTCTCTCTCTTGCCGCAGGTCGATGGCCACGTTGTTGTCAGGAGCGCTCTCGAGTGCGTTGATGCGCTCGTCCGTCTCGTTGAGCTGTGCCTGGAGTCTCTGATTCTCGCTGTTGGCCTGGGCGAGTGCGGTCTGCAGTTGGTGCACCTGTCCCTCCAATTGTGTTTGCGCCAGCTTGGTTTGAGCCAGTGCGGCCGCCACGTCGCTTTTCTCCTCCCCGGCCTCCTCGAGCTCCTCTTCGGTGATGGTCGCGGCGGGCTGGGCGGCTGGCGCTGCTGCTGGTGGTGGCACTGCTTGGCCAGCGGGAGGTGTCATTGGTGCGGCTGCGGGGGGCTGAGGGAAGCCGATGGCCTGGCCTAACACACCCTCGAGACCTCTGCAATGCAATCCAATGGATGCCACGCACAGCACAGCACAGCCGATCGATGAGATCAGCTGAGGGACTGACTGGACTGCGTGGGGGTGTTTGTTTGGTTGTGTGCTTACGGGATGAGCGCATGCCACAAAGGCGTGCAGACGACAGCCGCGACCATCACGAGCGAGGCGAGACCACCAGCCGACATCATCCTGGCACGACTCGACTCGGTGTGCTGTGCTGTGTCTGTCAAGCCAAAGCCAAACAGTGTTTGAGTGAGTTAGTGGGTCAGTCAGTCAGTCAGTCAAACAGATCGAGAGCAAACGGTTGATTGACTGCAGCCGGCCGAAGCACACTCAATTGCAGGCAGCTGTCCTGTCCAGCGGACAGCAATTGATTTGATGATGGGATGGATGTCTCACTCGCTCAGACCTTTGACCGATCGACGTCGACCGACCGATCAAAAAGGATGTATGCAGGTACACCACACAAACAGCGTCTCATGCGTACGAATGCATGTGGAGCACGGACAGCTCAGGGATGAGAGAGACATTCGATCTTCGTGTGCTCGTGCGTGATGAAGCAAAGCAGCCTCATGAGAAGAGACCCCACGTACACGAGGGAGAAGACAGCCACAGCTGGTCTGGTCTATCTCGATCATCGAGTACGAGAAGGACAAGCTGACTGCCCGCAACAGAAAAATGGCCAGCATGTGAGATAAAGAGGAAGCCACACGCATACAGGAAAGGAGAGATACTCGGCTGGCGGGCGGGCCAGCCAAAGCCAAGCAGCTGGCGATCGAGACACACAGCTAGTCTACCACTTTCTTGTCTTCCTTTTGCCTCCGCAACAAATCGGTCCCGACAATGAGATAGATCAGGAGGGCAAGCACGCCAGCGACGAAAATGCACGTGAAGATCACACACAGGCACAAAAAATTGCTACTCCCCTGTTCTGCCTCCGAGAACTCCGTGCCCTCCGTGCCCCTCCTGACCGACAACCATAGTGACAAGGAAAACAAACACATGAACGCAGGAGACATTGTGTTGTGTCAACATTCATGACTCACTCACCTTGACAGGGACCGCCGGCTGACGAAGCTGAAGGCCCATGACACCCTTCGCGACAAAGACCGCGACATGCGTCTGAAGCTGCCGGCCCGTGACGGCGCCCTGCTGCCGTCTTCGGAGTTGCTCGCGCTGTGTTTGGGCAGGGGCAGCGGGGGCCTCGCAATGCCAGCGTGAGCGGATTGTGGCGCAGTGGTCGCTGGCTCAGCCCATCTAACCGACGAAGAACCTGACTTCGACCCCGATCTCGAGCCGCTGCCACTTGCAGATGGTTTTGCTGAGTCATCTGTGTCGCTTACTGACGCATATATCCGCGCTTTCTTGCCTGGGGACCTCATTTCCTGACCATTTCCTGGAAGCTCAAAGCTCGCAGAGCCGCAAGCTTGCACAGTCGCACAACGGTTCGCTTTCCTTTCTCCGCTGCCAGGTGCCCTGTACGTACCGCGGCCCCTGTGCTGAGGCAAGAGTGTGATGAAGAGCATTGCAACGGAGAGCACGGCAGGCAGCTCGCCACCTGGCAGCGCTCAGAGCGGCCCTGGGATAGATCACGGCGTTCGAGAGTCGTTTCCCCGCTTCCTAACCTGCCCCTGGGGTGGCAGTGGCGCCACGGCGTGGAGCTCCGTCACGTCACTGTGCAGGTGGTGCTGGGACAAAGACGGAGGGCCGCACGGCAAGAAGAGCAAGATCGACCCCGAGGTGGACGTCAGCGGCTCCAGTCACAAGACGCTCAACCTCGAGACTGCCTGCACCGTCAACGAGTCGGTCAACAGCTGGGAGCAGACCGTCTTGTACGAGGACGGCAGGAGGTATAAGGGACAGTGGAAGGTACGGGCGGATGGGATGAGTTGGGAACATGTGCAGCACAGGGAGGGCATCACCGAGACACTGGCAGATTCATGTATTGATTGACTCCTGTGACTCATCCATCGATTGTCTGCGCTTTTGTGTGTGTCTTCATAGGATGGGAAGCGGCACGGTACGGGCGAGGAGACGTCTCCGTCGGGCGACTTCAGCTACTACGGCAACTTCAGTCAGGACCGATACGAGGGCTGGGGCAGGATGGAGTGGAGCAACGGCGCAAGATACTGCGGTCTGTCAATCACACACCCTGCACACCAGCAGTGGTCCGTTTGTCGATCGATGTGTCTGTGTGTGCAGGTCAGTTCCACAACAACCTCAAGCACGGCTATGGCGTTGAGCAGTACCCCAACGACGATGTCTACCAAGGTCAGACAGGCAGACAGGCAGACAGACCGCGCCGGTGGAGGCATGCGACCAACAACACACCCTTTTCTGTGGGTGCAGGCAACTTTGTGAACGGCCGCATCGAGGGCGAAGGCACCTATATTCGTCGGGATGGCACCATCGTCAAGGGTACTCCACTCGCACCACACGGACACTCTCTGATCAATCGGTCGATCCATCCATCCATCGCCCATCCCCCTCTCTCCTCCCTCTTTCTGTCAGGTCTGTTCCGTGACGGCAGATTAATCGCCTCCCACCCTCCCTCGCCAACCCACGCGGCCGAGGTGCGGCAGGACAGCGCCCTCTCGACACCCGACGAGGCCACGGAGCACCAGCCATTCAGCAACGCACTCTTCGCCGGCACGCCCACCACCACAACGTCCTCCAAAGACAACAAGCCCCCACACAAAAGGGCGGGAGCGGAGGCCGGCAAAGTCACCAACGCGTATATCTGACTGACCGAACAACCGACCGACCGACCGGCACAAGCAAGGCAATCGTGGTGGGTGGGTGGGCGGGGCAGATGGGGGGGTGGCAAGACAGACAGACAGATAGATGATTGATTGATTGATTGATTTGATGTGTCGATTGATGAATGAATGGGTGGGGACGCGGGGCACGCTGTGTTCGCTCGCTCCATCAGATGGGTGGGCGGGGTGGGGTGGGGGGGTGGGAAGGGAACAGAATATAGTGTACGGCCGAGGGGGCAATGGGCGGCTGGGTTGATTGATTGATGGTTTCAATGCCTCTCGCTTCCTCTCGTTTCTGCCTGCCTGCTTGCCTGCCTGCCTGCCGTTGTCTCATCCTTCTTTCCTTGCTGGCTAGAGTTAGTTTTGTCGCGACCTCACACACCCGACTACCCCACTCACCTCACCCACCCAACCCACTCGGCTGCCCGGTGCTGGTGCATGTGTCTCATGTCCGAGCGACCGACCGACCGGCTGCCATGCTGTTTTTCAGCCCGATTCGATGACGATCAGATTCACTCATTCACTCACTGCCTGCCCTACGAGAATGACGCCTGGCTGCGATGATATCTTCCCATGTGCATGGCTGCCTGTCTGTCTGTCTTGTCTGTCTAATTCTCAGCGAAAGGTGGGTGTGGCCAGTGCCTGCGTCCCTTCCTCCCTCATTGCCTCTGGCCCACCCATCCAACGAAGGTGGGGTCTAGACTGACTGACTGACTGACTGATGGACAGACAGCTCTATACATCTATACGTACCATGCCGTACGATCGATGTATACAGGCAGACAGACAGACAGTCCAGACCGCACCGCCTTTGCTTGGTGTGCTTGGTGGGCGAGGTGTGTGATGTTGTTTGCAACGCGAGACAGTCTGTGTCCGTGGTCTCTGTGGATTGTATGGGTGTGGTGTGTGTGGGTGGTGTGTTATGTGTGTCTTTATCACTCCGTGCTCTCTCCCCTTGTGTGCGTGCTTGCATGTGAGGAACCTGAGAGCCCATTTGAGGACGGGGGGGGAGGGG